GATGGATGGATGGATGCTTGGATGAAAGGAAGGCAGGAAAGATGAATGTACGTACTTATGTATTTACGAACGGTATAGTATCAACAGCCACACTGCTTCTTGCAGCGATGCTATTATTGGAACGCTTCCTCCTAAGGGAGAAAGGTACCTCAACCTCAACCCCAAACCCCCCCAAGAATCACCTGAAAACCGCGAACAAACCCTTATAGCAACTTGAGCAACCGCTATAGTGGCTCGTGTGGTGCCCCTCAAAGAAGATACTTAGAGAAGTGTCATAGAACCCACGGGCCCTGCGAAGCCAATTCTTGTGGCCAGTTCTGGGAGCCATCGTCCAGCAGATTCCTCGCCAGATGTCTGATTTCCAAGCACAGATAGTACTTTGAGGGGTTAGGGTGTAGGATTTAGGGTGTTGGATTGAGGGTTTAAAGGGATGGCTCTCTTCATTTGTTGTGCGTTCAAATGCTTCGACGACAAGTCACCTGTGCTTGGAGGAGCTGTCATGACAGGACGCGTCGTGTTTCACAACAGTTATATGGCAGGGGTCATGCGTGACTCCCGCAGTGCACAGCAGACCACGGCTAAGTAAGGATGTGCAGCAGGCCCTGGGCTGCCCATGCTATTGATGCTTAAAAAACATCACACTGGTTTGTGCGCACTCGCTATCTTTCTTGCTTATCGCTGTTGGCTTTTATACGACGTTTTGAGATGCAGCTGCGGAAAAAGACGCCAGGTCCTTTCGTATACCAGGCATCTTTCTCGTGTCAACCGAGGGAAGGAAGTAAGTGACTGACAGGTCAGAGAGGTGTGTCGGAGTTTCAGGCTTTAGCGCAGCTTGTTGCAGACTTGTGATGCGTTTGACTCGAGGCTCTGCTCAAGCCGCTGCGCCGGTGGCCAGTTCACATTCCGTAGACTCGAGCCATCCATGTTGCAACGTTCCCTGCACTTTGAACATCATTCTCCTAGTCTCACAGCACGCAGATCAGGTGAGAGTGTGATTCGTTATGACCATGCATGCGCAAAGAAGGTGCAGCCGATATCCAGCAATGCTCGGTGCCAGAAGTGGTGCGGATCGTGTAGTCTGCAGCACCCTTATGAAAACGTTTGCTGTCACTCGAAATTGCTGGTTTGCAGAGATGAGGTCGCACATGATCTGTCACGACGTGCGACGCGCAGAGGACGGGGGTGGAGATAGTGCAAGATTGGGGAGGGCCCGGCACTTCACGAATAGGTCTTACATGACATGCTCTCGCATGCTGCTTGCGGTTTATGGCTTTAGGCTTTTGGGTATTAGTGGAGCCCGTGAGCAAGTGAACCATGGTGGTCAACTAAGAGTCTGAAAAAGGTCACGAAGACTCTGCAGCGCTCCGAGCTAGTGGGCATCCAACTGTTAGAAGTTGTCAGTGCAAGGTGTTTCTCCCTTAAGCCGAAAGATTCAAGACCAGACTGCAGTTCAGGCAGTGAAACCTTTCAACTCCTTTGTGCAGCCCTCCAGTCACCGGATCCGGGGTCGGCAGGAGATGTGACTGTGAAGTCCAGCGCTATGAAGGCCGGGCTGGGGTCAGAGGATCTTTATGGGAGGACTGTAGCCTCATGCAGTGTCAGTTGGCCGTCAGAATGACGGGCTTTGACGAAGCCAGCGCCTAAACCCTAAACCATAAACCTGCAAGGTGGTTGCAGAAATGACGACGTGGCCGCACCTGCTGGCCTCGAAGCTTTCCATCCGAAGCTTTTTCGGCAGGCTCGGCAGGATCCGATCTGCCCGGGACTGCATTGACTTTGCGATTGCGTCGCGTTCTCTGAGCTCCCCCAGCTCACACGCTTGACTGAGTGCGCCTTGTCGCCTTTGAAAGCTGCCATTTTGAAGCCTTGCCGTTCCTGCCCAAGCACAAGGAAACACACCTTTTCCAGTCAACTCTTTGTAGCTGGCGGTGTTCTTAAGCTCTCTCCGTGAGCCCGAGATCGCGTCTCTGTGTGGCCGGAGTCCCACAGCATGACTTTCACTGCTGCTACTTGTGCATTCGACGCGCCAGTGGTTCTGCTTGGTGCAACGGCTTGAAGCCGAGTGAGGTGCGGCCGAGTGCCCTGCACCGTGCTTTCTGTTGAAGAAGCTGCCGTGCCGCTGCGGCACGCCCTTCCTGTAAAGCCACTTCCGCGCCAGGGTGCCTTGACGTTCGCATGATGTGCCCAGTTCTGAGTTTCTGCTTCCTTGGAGGATGGAAGTAGCTCACAGGGCCGATGCAGCTGGGAAGAGCCCTGGGTGCAGCTCGTACGATCCGGGGTTGCGGATGCCCAAAGCGGATCTGTGCCTCTCCTCGACACTCACGTAAGGGCCGCCTTGCTCGGGCGAGGTAAGCCTTGCGATGGCCTTGTTGAGCCCGAGAGCTGTGCGAGATCAGGTTACCGGTGGGAGAGCTGCGGGAGCCGCCCGGATCCGCCGGGAGCCGCTGAGAGGCGGAGCCGCCGAGATCCATGGTCTAGGCTTGGATTCCACCCAGGCCGCTTTTCTTCATTCCGGGCGGCTGTTCTGCATTGACATTGCTTGGACAGAGAGGAGGTTGTTGCCAGACCAGGCTACCGAAGGGAGAGTGGCGGGCGAGCTGCGGGAGAGCAGAGCAGCGCGAGATCAGGTTACCGGCGGGAGAAAACCTCCAGAGGGCTCGAACTTCCAATAGGCCTCCAGTCCAGGGGGGCCTCCTGGAGCTTTCGCGACTTTTTGACCCAACCCCTGTGTGGAGGGTTCAATTCGCCCAGCCGCCCGGGGGGGCGGGGGGCCGGGTTGCACAAACAAAACATTTGGGGTTTAGGGTTTGTGCCTTTGACAATCAAAGGCTCGACCGCCTTGGCAAGCGAGACGTTCGTCCTGGGTGAGCGTTCTAACGGCACCAGCTTTACCTGGGCCGTACGTGGCGTGTGGTGGGTCGCTCGCTGAGCGCTCGTCGGGCTCTCAAGTGTTGGTAGCGAGCCCTCGGCTAGACTTTAGGGTTTAGGGTTTAGGGTTTAGGGTTTACGGACACGGCTTGGAGACCAGGCTTTAGGGATTAGGGTTGGGGGAGAGACTAGGTTTTAGGGATTAGGGTTGAAGACTAGGCCTGGGGGATTAGGGTTTAGGGTTGAGGGGTTGAGGATTGAGGCTAGATTGATGGCTTCAGCCGCTTTCCTTCTCCTGGCTTCCGTGCCCAGCGACTGCCACAAGGAGACTCAGCAGAGGCCAGGCAGTAGCATCAGACTCTGGGACATGTGTTTCTTCCTTGTTTTGGGTTCTTGTGGGACTGTCCAAGCACCCCTAGCTAAGGTTTGCTTCAACGTCTACCTCAACCGCGACGGCATGCCCAACGCCGAGGTGCAGCCGGCATGCCAATGATGTTGTTGGCGTACCGCCGTACAAGAATCGTGCTGGGATGTAAGAAGTTGGGGATAGGGCGTCAGTTGTTTTGTGGGTCATTTGCCGAGGCCATGCCTCAACAAAGAAGATGGAACCTTGAGAGGATTTACGATAACAGTTTATGATCTCTAGACCCTCAACCCTAAGCCTTTAAAGCTTTGGGTCTTGTCTAGCTCGGGTGTGTGGCGGCTGCATGGAGCTTGCTTGATTGAAGGCTAAGGTTACCTTGTTAGGTCAGACGTCACCTTGCGGGTCCCAGGTCCAGACCAATCATTTGGGTTTTAAAGTAGGCTATGGCTGCTTCCTAGGGTTTCGCAACAACTCACTATATCCTACTTGCAGCACTGTTCCGCTTGTTCTGGCAAGGCCATTTGTGCAGAACTGTGCTTTGTTGTGTGGCGGTAAACCGGTCCAGGCCTTAGATCTTAGCACGATTACAGAAAGCCCGCGCAGACTTGTGGCATCTCGACAGGATGCGACTCCACGCCCTACAGCAGTTGATACTGGACCACCCCGAAATCTCGAAAAGCCGACAGGATCAGCGGAGGCCACCAGCGAAATCCACAAGTTCTTCATCCAAACGCACATACCAAGACTGGCCTTTCACCACTTGAAGCCCAAGCCGCTCCACCTCAAACCAACAATTCGGCACAAGGTCTGTCTAACCTCCCTCTTGGTTGGTTCGTCTAACCTGGCCAGGGCTCGTTTGACCCCCTCCCCCCTCCCTGTAGTACCAATGGCCACGAATCCACTTCAGCTCGTCGTTGCCCCTCATCAGGCTTCAGCCACGCATCGTCCGTCCACTACCTTCCCCATGTCCGCCATTTTCAGCCTTGCAACACCCCATGTGCAGGCAGACAGGCCGGTGCAGAGAGTGTGGCTCAGGGCCCCGACTCTACCACTACCTACCTGCACCAGGAATCCTGACTCCAAAGCTCGAGGGTTCATACCCCAAAGTTCGACACGGAAACCTTCCTATATATTCAAACCCCAAGCATCAAACCCCAGGGCCTAGAACTCAAAATCTACTCAGGATTTCGCACCCATGTACAACTGACAAAATAGCGGATCCTGCAGAAGAGTTGTTTTAAAGCGCCTATCTTGGGTTGCCAGCCATGGCGCCATGGTCCCGTGCCGGCGCGGAGTGGCGCTATCCCTGGCGCTGCTTGCAGCGGCGCCTTGGCGTCACAAGCATCCTTGCAGTGTAGGTTTTGGGTTTGCCAATGTTTAGGGGCTGTAGGGCTTCAGGGGTCAGGCTTTGAGGTTTACTGGGTTCTCAGCCGACACTCGTGTGGGTTTAGGGCTGAGTTGTTTTTTGCTACTAGGGTGCAAGGTTTTCGTGGGTTGGGGTCGAGGGTCTAGGGGTCGTGTAGAGGTTAGAGGTGCGTGCGTAGGTTTAAGGTAAGTCCGCGCTGTCCGGATAGAAGTGCAGGTCCTCTGAGTCTTGCAGCAGGACACCCGCAGTAGAAAAATGGACTGTCCGGAGAACGCGCTCTGTCAACATGTTACTTCTGCTTTGGTCCCTGTGGTAGTATACTTGGAGGTCCAGTGTGCTGGCAACCCAGTATGCCAAGACAGCTGTAGCTATATCTCGACGATTATAGCAAGCTGGGCACTGATTGCGCTCACATCTTAGCTTGGGTGTTTTGCAGGCTAGCCTTAGTAGCCCAGATTATGCAAGCCCCCGGAAGACAAGATGGAAGCCGAAAACGGACCCTTTACAAGGACAGCAGTCTACATGGAGGTCCCCCGTTGTCCAGTTCCGGCTTGAAGAGAATCACTTGTGAAGCTCCACGCCCCTTGAAGTAGGTGTCCTCTCTAGGAGTCTTCGTAGTTGTTACATTGTAGTTGTTGCGGTCTCGAATGGGCGGGGAACTTTGCTGTAGTGCCAACACAAGCATCCTATTCAAAAAAGTGACTAGGAATCCAGGGACCTGCCTGGCTTTTAAGCCCCCTCCCCTCTAACTACCTGATGCATACATTTTGCAGCCCTTGTTTGGAAGATGTGTCCGGACCGCTCATGCTGAATCTTCTGCCGCGGCCATGTTCCACGGGGCAGGGCTTCAGATCTGGGTAGTTGATCCAGCCATGAGGGAGTTTGCCTTGTATGCGTTGTCCCGGACCTCGCAAGAGGAAGTGGGCAAAGACAGACGTCGCGCTTGGGGTATCTGGCTTCCTGGTCCTGTTCAGAAGATGGTAATGCTTGTAGCTGATGGTGCAAGGGCAACCTATGAAATTTTAGCAGCTAGCCTCTATGCAAGCAGCTGAAGTAAGAGCATTAGCCCGTCGTGTCCATTATTTGCATCTGTCGGTCCAAGGTTTGTGGTGGTGCTCGAGGTGGGCTCCATGCTTTGCTTTGTGCAGGTGTCCACGCTTACGCATGGAGTGTTTCTGGCCATCCCGGCGATCATCCTCCTTGTGTTTGCAGTGGCCAGGCTGGAGGGAAACCGGGAGCTTCTCGTGAAGGAGCCACTCTGCCTTCTTTGGCCTCACTACCATTCCAGACATGGGCTTTCCAGGCGCCAGGCACCGGCCACAGGTTGTTACATGGGCACCGCGCTCCTGCGTGTGGCTTGCAGCTTGGTCTTCTGGGGGAATGTGGACTTGGACAGAGCTTTTCAGAATTTCAGTCCAGAAGTCTGCCCGCGCGTAAGAGGGCCAGAACTCTGCAGTTACTATCCGGCCGGTGGGTTTCAATGGGCATCAGCTTGCGTCCTTCGACGATTCGTTTTGACTAGTGAGGACGAGCGTGTCAATCGACCTAAGATGACTAAGATGTACCAAGCTGAAGACGGGCCGTGCTGGCAAGAATGCAAATCATGCCTGCCGTATGCTGCTTGGGGAAGGAACAGAGATTGGATAGCAGCACCTTGTCATGTCGGTGACACCTGTCAAAATATTTGCTGCCGCTGCCTGCACTGCCGGCTCTCGCCCTCGTTGGTTGGGTGGCTGGTCGAGGGCTGTGTCAAGGGTGCATTCTATCCGGGTGTCCCGCGAGATGTGTACTGGTCAGAAGACGAGATGGTGTATTGGCGTGATGGCAGTGGTCCAGTTACCGCATCGACTGTTTCCGCTTACTACAGCAACTTCACTTGGCTCTCAGATAACGCCCTGCTTGCCCAGCTTGCCCGGTGTACGTTGACTCACGAGTTGCACGCTACATCCCTTGCAACTTTTTCTACCGCCGCATTGTTTCTGCAGTGGCTTCCAGTAATCATGCTCGGTGCGTGGCTTGGCCTCACCTGCTGCTTGCCACTATTGCTCGGTCTGCAAGGCCTCATGGCCATGCTTGGGTCGGCACCACCTGACATCGACACCCAGGGTGCAATTGCCAGCAAGGCCGAGCACCTCCGTCGGCAGATAGCACAAGGCGGTCACCAAGCTGGACTTAAGGAAAAGGTGACCATTTATATGGATCTTTTTTTCTTTTTGGTGGACTACGCATCAGACTGGAACTGCTTGCTTCAATTCGTCCTGGAGCAGCAGTTCGGTCTGGCAGGGGCGCAAGCCGCGATCATCGTGGCACCTACCGTGCTGGACTTTTATCGTGGAAGGATACAGGTTGTAGAAGTAGTTGGCGGATTCTTGCGATCACGCAGGAAGGGCTTCCCCACGAATTCGTACATCCAATCCTTGCGATCGGAAAAGGGGGTGGAGGCTCCGCTCTCCCTTTTCTTACAGTACTATGCCTTGCCGAGGGCCACGAGTCTGGCTGGATTCTGGAGTGTATGCTTGTCCATGCCACTGAGCATGTACAGCATCTCGAAGCACGTCTACACAACCTTCGAACTCAGTCTCATCGACAGCTGGACGCCTGCCGGAGAAGTCCAGAGGCAGGATGCCGCACCCATCGGCAATGCAAGTGCAGATACAGACATTTCGATGCCGCAAAGGCCACCCCCTGACCTGATGAGCGTGGCACCTCCCGCAAAGGCCCCATTGCCAGGTCCGCTGGTCGAAATTTTCCGGGATCTCAAGCCCCAAAGCCCCCAAAACTCTGAGACATGGAGGAAAATTAGCTGCAATTTACACGTGTCCTCCCTGTAGGCCTTACTCTGAAGTAGTTACCATGAGCTGCGCCAGGTCCTGCTGTCTTGCCTTCCGCATTTGAGCGCCAATTCCTGCCTCCCATCGCCATTGATGGCCAGAGGGTGAACGAAAAGGAGTGAGATGCACTTAAGTTGTGGTCAGCCGTGCTGATTTGTACCCCCCTGGCACGAGTCCAGAGAGTCC